TCTTTTATTAATAATGATTTTAAGCTATGTGAATTTGTTCTTACAATTATATAAGTAAAATATTAGGAAATATCATGAATGAATGGAAAATTCAGGATAAGACATTTATTATTACCACGGATAATGGTCGTAATGTAAAAAATGCTATATTGAATATGAACAAAGTTAATTGGCTAAATTGTACATCGCACACATTACAACTTGTAATCACAAAGGGATTAATTCCAGCAAAAGTATTGGTCAAAAGAGTTAAACGGTTAATTAATTTTTTATATGACCTAAGCAAAGTGAACGATTTGAAGAAGTTCAAAGGAAATTTTCTGAAATTCAAAATATAAATAATCCTAAAAATAAAAATAATAATAATGATAATAATTTTGAGGTAATATATATAATATACATTTATTTATTTATTTATATAATAATAATAATAATTTTAATATATTCTAATTTATTAGGTATCCAAAAAGTTTCTGAATACTTGCATGCAATAGCTGATTGCCCAACATGATGGAATTCTTCTTACCTCACCTGGAATTAGCTTCTTAAATTAAGAAACCATATTAGCCTTCTTGTAAACTTACTTTCAACCAAATCTGACTCTGAAACCAAAAAAGATCTCAAATATTTAAAGAAAATTTTGCTTTTTGATGAGGAGTAGGATATAATAAGTAATTTAGTAGAGATTCTTAAGCTATTTGCCGAGGCCACTGATTACTTAGGTAGAAGTAATTATTGCACCTATTCGATAATGGTTCCTATTTTAATCGAGCTTAAGAAAAATTGTCAGTTATCAATCTCTAATAACAATAATATAGCAGATATTAACGATGATGATAATGACTTTCAAGACTTATTTGACGATAACGATGTTACAACTGATGAAGAAGAAGAGAATGAACAGGTTTATACACTAATTAGTATAGATATTGATGAAATAAAAAATAATTTGTATAATGCAATGAACCATTATTGGTCTAATTTAACATCACCAAGTTCACTTTTACCTAGTCTTTTAGATCCCAGGTGCAAAAATCTATCTTTTGTCTCATTTGCTAAATGGTTCACTACTGAAAATTTACTTAGAGATGAGTATGAAAAAATGAAAAATAATATAGACAAAGAGAAAAAAAATGTTAGAACGAAGGTTAAATCAACTTCTGTAAAAAAAAAAACCAAAAGTAGCATTCTTTCTAGTTTTAAAAAACATACGCCAGTTATGGTTGAGGAGATTTCTAACTATCTAAAGCTTGAAGAAATTGATATTGAGTGTAATCCTTTCGTGTGGTAGCATGAGCGGCATAACAAATTTCCGGTTATAAGCAGACTCGCAAAACAGTATTTAGCTGTTTTTGTATCTTCAACAGCTAGTAAAAGGCTTTTCTTGGATGCAGGAAATTTAATAACTGCAAAGAGAACTCGTATAAGTCCTTTGCTATTTAAAAGATTAATATTTTTTAAAAAAAATGAAAAATACTCGGATAGTATTTATCCATCTTAAACATATATAGAAATAGATTGATTTAATAGAAGTTATATACTGTATTATATATACATACACTTACATATACACTTACATATATTACTGTTACACACGAGATTTATTATAAATTTAAGGTTTTATAAATTTTTGGCACAGTTATTAATTAGTATTAGACTTTCCAAGAAATCTATGATTTTAATTTCTTCCTGGATTTAAAGATTTATAATATGAATATAACTTTAATTGTGATTTAGTATTAGATGATTCATAGATAAGTACACTACATATATATTATTATTCTTTATTAAGGTTATAATTTTTAGATAATTTTTTTTTTAATTGCTAAATGATTTATCTTAAATTTGGTATATTTAGTAGTTATTCAGGTGGTGCATTGTATTCTTATATTGAATCCGAAATTAAAAATTCATGATAAATTTTCGTTGTTAAAGTCTTTAAATTTATTCATTGCATTATATTTTAAGTAAATCTACGCAGATCAAATTCTCATTCGAGAGCCCTCTAACTAATATATATTTATATTCTCTTACTTATAGAAGTTATACTCTATAAGCATAGTAAAAAGACGAATAGGGACTCAACAAAATTATATATATTAAATAATTTTGAATATGAGTATATAAAGTGTTAAGCTATTATTATACTTTGAGATAGGTATCTGTATCTTTAATTACTGGATTAGTAGTGGTTTATGCGCTTCAACTTTTAATTGATATGTTGGATAAATGGCCAAAGTAGTGAGTAAATATGTAATAATAATGGTAATAATAATAATATCTGATATATTTAAACTATTAATTACTCATTGTCTAATAATAGAAAGCAAATATAACTTAGCGGAATGTTTAGTTTACTACAATAACAATTTAAAGTAGGAGCCGAGAATATAATACCAGATAACAGACTACCAGTTGGATGGTCATTTTGTAGAGAAATTCACATTAAAAATTTGGAAATTAAATATAAGCTTGGTAGTCTTCTAGTTTTGAAAAGCATCTTAATTGACATTATAGCTGAATTTTTGTTCGAACTATAAATCTTAGACCCATTTTGAGAACTAATGAATATTAACTTCTCTTAAATAAGATATAGAAAATCAACGTTGGCAACATTGTTTTTTAAATTTATCAAAGAATTTCTGAAAATATTGTAACAGATGATATTGACATCAGTACTACTAGATTAAAAGCAATATTACTATTATATCTCAGAACCCCATATGATTTAATGGTACTATCTCTTAGATTGTAGTAGAATACAGGCAAATTTGCCTGCGTTTTTACACTTTTTTAGCTCTGATTTACTTTTTTA